CCTGAAGGCTGTGTCACCAGGCCTGGAAATAAAGCCTTTGCTTCCCAAATTTTAATTTCTTGTTTCCTTGGATTTTATACTGGGGTCCGAGTTATCACATTTATAACAACTGTTTTCCTCATATTTTTTACACTATTTTCCAGGGAACATAGGTTCTTCTTGTAATACCAGCAACCTCAATTGGTTAAAAATTTCAGAGACACACTCAAAGTCCAACCTTATGCTGATCTAACAAGTTCAGGGAAAATTATAAGGCTGTGTTCATCTTGGCACTACAAACTAGTCTTGAATAATTCCTAGCTGCAATCTCTCTGGCAATCAGGCAATTCCGATCCTCGAGGAATTTCCTTGTGCCTGTCTAATGAACAGTTGTCTTGTGAGAACTATCTCCCTCAGGTACAAGCAAGTGGCCCTCTTAAGTTGTAAGGTTAGCTGAAGAAATGGAAATGCCCAGAAGTTGGCCAGTCTTTCTGTACCTGTAATGTGCTGTTAAGAAAACCAGAAACATTTGAAACATTTTCACCTTCAGTATGAACTGCTATTCTTTACCCTTCAGTAGACTCCAGTCACCTTTTATTCCTTGAAAGATTTCCCACAGATTTTATGTGATTTTTCCAGGTATACCAATCTCTTTCTGGTTCCTATAATTACAATAAATGAACTGGGGAAGAGAAGCTACATTAGTTCATCATATTGTCCGGAACTGGAAATCCTGTGTGTGTGTGTTACAATTGAACCTAGGGCCTTGTGTATCCTAGGCAAGTACTCTATCACTGAGATACATCCCCAGCCATTTAAAAAAAATATTTTATGGTGGACATAATTGTACCTGGTAGGATCATAATTTCATGGAATAGGTAAATATGCAATAGTTTTTTATTTTTATAGGCAGCATTTAATAGTAAGAACACTCAAAAGATATTTCATACGAGAATTTTGCAGATGAATGAGATCGCAATAAATTTGAAAAATGAGAATTTTGTGGAAAAAATACACAGATTGCAAGTTAATTTACTTAGGTAACCAGCATAATTTGCCAATCTAATTCGTTGTCTGAAAACTTGTATGTGTGTGAAATTAATAATATGGTTTTAAGGGACTTCCAGAGCAGAATGAAATTTAATCAAGAAGTTTCTGGAACATACTGTAGCAAACAGTTTTGATTAGGTCTGATTCTGTTTATGCTCTTGATTCCTTGTGGGGTTTGTCTAAAATCTATAATTGCTGTCTGCGAAAAAAGTATTAGGAAGCTGTTCCTCCAACCTAGAAGTGAAATTCCTAAATGAGTGTTTGAAAGGTAAAATTTTAGGTATATACTAGTTCTATATTATCCAAGGGATATAAATTCTAAGACCCCCTAGGGGAAAGATTGAAATCAGATACTGGTAGTACAAAACTTTATGTTTTTTTTTTTTTTTCACCTCTGAAAAAGGTTTAACTTATAAATTAGGAACAGTAAGACATAAACAACTAATAATACAGAATAATTATTGCAGTGTATTAGAATAAGTTATGTGAATGGGATGTTTCAAAAAATCTATTGATAGTGTATTTACCCTTCTTCTTAGGGTGATGCATGATGATACAATGTCCACATAGTGATGGACAGAGGCATTGGGACATAATATTAGGCTACTATGTGAACAGGGTTTCTGGAATATATGCACTGCAATACTGCCACAATAGTCACTATGATAGTGGAGCAGGCTACTACCTGGTGAGATGATTCACTGTCTACACAAGAAGAATGGTATGAGATTTCATCATGCTGTTTAGAATGGTGAGGAATTTAAAACTTACGAATTGTGTATTTCTAAACTTTTCCATTTAATATATTCAGAATGTGGTTGACTACAGTTGACTGAAACTGTGGAAAGTGAAACCACAGACAAGAACAGACTGTTATAGATAAACTTGCATGCGCATGTTTTCTCTTAAATTTTATTTTTGCAGTGATTAATTTTTCTGTATGTGAGGGAAATTAAAAACAAGACACTAGTTTTTTTTTTCTACAACAGCCTGAGAAATACAGACTATAATAAAGACAAGAAAAATAACTTTGGAAAAGAGCTCAAGTTAATAATTTAATGTAAGAGCTGTACCTAGACAATAACTAGATTATAGCAAAAGTTTCATATAATGTAGGATAGGATGAAATAGTCATTAAAGGTGAGATGAGTTGGATGTGGTGATGTGCTCCTACAATCCCAGCACTCTGGGAGGAAAGAATTGCAAATTTAAGCCCAATCTGGGCAACTCCACAATTTAGTAATGCTCTGTCTCTAAAACACTTTCTAAAGGGTGGGGATGTAGCCCAGTGCAAAGGCCCTGGCTTCAGTCTCCACCACCAGGGGAAACAAACAAACAAACAGACAACTGATGTATGAATAGTGCTAATCAAGTTGTTTTTTCTTGGGTATACAGCAGTCAACATATCAGAAAAGAAGTTCAATAATACAATTTTCAGAGCAAGCTAAAGTATTCTTTGTTTTTCATTCCGAGAAGTTTTATGTATACGTTAATGGTAAAGTAGTAAATTCAGTGGGAAATCATAGCAATAGACCTGTTTAATGAGTTTTTCTGAAACTGTCTCTATGGAAGAAAAACAATCTGTTGTATGTGTCTTAGTCATTTTGTTTTCATTGGGACAAAATATCCAGCCACATAACTTACAAGAGGAGTACTTACAATTTCAGCTGGTTCTTCCCATTACTGGCTGGCTTCAAGGCAGAAAGAGCCTCGTAAAGGGTTCATAGAGAACACCTGCTCATACATGGTAGCCAGGAAGCAGAAACCAGAGGAGCCAAACCCTTCTAGGGAAGGCCTCCTGTAACTCTCCTATAACCACGCTCAACTCCTAACACACTCAGATGCTGAACTCCTTAGTATATATATCTACTGTTGAGTGTAGCGCCTTCATAGTCAATCAGCTTCCAAAAGCACTGCCTTGAGTAATGTTTTGGGGGCCATTCTGGATCTAATCCACAACAATGTTTTTATTCTTATTTCAAAGAAACAATCACAAGCACACAGTAAGTTTAGTCACAGAATCAGCATTGCAATGAAGGCTTGTCTGATTCCCAACTTTCTCCACTTCACTAACGTTCCTTATTCATTAGGACATAGGTCCATATACAAAGTATTCATCATTAGGCAGGAGGTTTTAAGTGTTTTATTAACACAAGCTAGAAATGAATGGGGTAGAAAAAGTATGTGGGTCTTCTACTGAAAAGTTTTTCGGTCATCATCCTTAGTTTGAGAAATTTAGCTCAAACCATCAGGTGATGGTGAGTTAGAAGTTTGGAAGGAAGGCAGGGATGGAGAAGTGCTAAGTGAATTCTTCCAAGAATCACTGCACAAATTTATTTTTGTTAAAGTGACCTTTTCCCCCTCAGGATTTAAACTCCTGTGATAGTCAAAGAGAATAAGAGTTCATAAAAATCACAGAGATAGGGCTGGGGATTTAGCTCAGTGGCTTAAGTGCCTGCCTGGCAAGCACAAGGTTGTGAGCTCCATACCCCCTACCCCAAATTACAGAGATAAAAACAACAGCTTGCTGTCTATCCCTGCCAATCTAGCTCCCTGTGGCTGAACATATTCCTTCATTAATACCTTCTCTAGCTTATGCTGAGCACAACTGAACTAGTGTTTTTCTGGGAATCTATTTGTGAGTTAATATTTCATTGCACTGCAGTTTACTTTTTAAAAAATCAATTGTACAGTACAAATTAACATCAAGTTTAAACAAATATATTTATCCCAGGAAGAAAGTTTTTTTAAGGCCCTTCTTTTTCAAAAGTAATCTTTGTGTTTTATATACTATACAGGAGGTTGTCTTAATCAGAAAAATTCCTTTCTATATCCTTCCTGTGTCCTCTGTAAAAGAAAATTACTAGCAGAAACATTTCCCCTTTACCCAGTTTCTGTTCCTACAAGAGTTCTCTCTCCACACACCCTGTTTTGCAAGGGAATTTTAAAGGGTAGGGAATCACTGAAAGGTTGTCCTCTACTCAAAAGCACTGCATTTAGTAGTACTGCGTATGTGTCTGTTCGTCAGTTCCCTATTCATTTCCTCTTCCATCTTTCTGGTTGCGGACAATGATTAAATAAATGCTTTCCCCATAGACATTTTCAGGCTATAACTAACCCACATAACTCAAGCTACAGTAAACTTGAACATATTGGCTTTTTCCCCAATGCCTTTTCTACAATGCTGGCCAGAGGGAGAATGGAAATAGGTTTATGCATTATTATGTTTCTCCTATCTGTAGCATACCTTTTCTATTATCCTTTCTCTACCAACCACTTCTAACTGCTCTGCCACTGTTTCTAAATTTTCTCCTCAAAACAGCTGCCATGTAATTAAATCCTATCAACCCGCAGGAACACTAACAGTTAATACTTTCGTGCTTACTATGCACCAAGCATCTTTTGAGGCATGTTTGAGCAGCTCACCTAATCTATGAGGCTAATCTTTTTCTTTTTTTAAAGATAAGGAAGCCAGCGTGCAGTGCCCTGGTTTACAAGGCAGGTAACTCAAGAGTTAGAATGAATCCATGTTTCCGTGGTTTTACAGTGGCCTTCACATCCTCCACCCTACAACCCGTAATCATTATTTTCAGTCCCTTATCTAATGAGCCTTTTGCCCTTCTATCTCTGTTCGTCTCATCCTTTAAGTTACTCCCTTGCTCCTCTTCCCTGGATCCCCCTCTCGGTGTCGGGTCCCTTCACTCCACCGCCCACCTGCGTCCCTCTCATCGCCCCGCCTAGGCCGTTCGCTTGGGTCCTCTGCCAGCCATTGCCGCGCTTTAACATCCTCGGGCCTCTTTCTTCTCTGAAATTCTAGGCTTGTCTTCTTCTTAATTGCAGTCTCTCGTCGTGCCGGCTGCTCGGCCCGCTCCGCTCGGCTCGCCGCAGCCCCTCTCCCGGCAGCCCGACCTCGCCCCCGTCGGCGGAGTCCGCGCGAGGGGCGGGGCCGGCGCGGAGCGAGTCTGCGCGCCGCCGGCGGCGAGGGGCGCCGCGGGGTCCCGGCTCCGGGCAGCCCCCGCGCGGTGCAGCCTGGGCGAACATGGCCGCTTCCGGTCTCCCTCCCAGGCCGGCCCTGGCCTGACTGCGGCCCCTGCCCGGCGCGCTCGGCCCTCCGTGCTCGGCCCTCCGGAGCGGCAGCCGAGGAGGTCCCTTCAGCCTTTCGCTCGAGCGGCCGTCCCTGCCGCGTCATGGAGAAGAGCTCGAGCTGCGAGAGTCTCGGCTCCCAGCCCGCCGTGGCTCGGCCGCCCAGCGTGGACTCCCTGTCCAGGTAACCAGGGCGCCCGGCCCCGCCCAGCGTCGGGGGGATGGAGCGGGCCGGGGCCGCGGGAGGGTGCCTCGGCTCGCGGCTTCGGATCCTGCGGGCCGCGCCGGATTCCCTGCCAGGGACTTGGAAGTCACCTCTTCTCCCTCTCTGGGGCTTAGAGGGTGAGGAAAAGGTGGTTAAACTCCCGCTTCTGTATTGGCTCCTCTGCCTTTCCTGTTCACTCTCCTTTCTCCCTGGTCGAAGTAGCTCCAGTTCATTATTTTCTCTTTGATCGCGTCTCAGAAAATTTTTTGGACAGCCCTTCCCCCACTTCTTTTTTCATTTCCTGTCTTTCTTTACCACTCTTTCCAAAAACCATCCTTCAGTCTTCTTCTGTCATTTCTTGTATCTTTGTTTTGGGTTTCTTGTCCGGCCCTTACCTTTCGTTTTCATCTTGTCACTAACCTCTTTCAAGCTTTCCCCTACTCTTTGATTTCTTTCCCATCCCCCAGTTTTGCCTGAAAAGGTAAATAAAAATTTCCCTTTTGCCTTGCTGTTCTAAATATTCCAGCAGTAAGTCCGTATCAAGGCATCTGAGTAGTCGTTATCCTCACCGATTGGTTTGAGAAAGCAAAATGGGTAGTAGTTTTCTTCTTTGTAGGGCCGCCGTCTTTTCAAGTTGCCATTTCTCTTGTGCCAGATGGGGGAAGACTTTAATTTATACACCTCTGAAGAGAGCTGTCGTGAATATTACTTAAAAATATTTTTGATGCAATCCTTTTCTCTGATTATGAAATAGTCATTTAAGTTTTTATTAAGAAATAAAAATTTAATACACAGCCTCAATGAGAAATGGGTTCTTTTCCACTAATGTTAATTATTGGGGCTATTACATACTAAATTCCTGTATGAAAGGACATAATTTTCATTTTTCCTTGAACTCATCACTCTGTTTTTACAGTTATTTTGTGTTCTGGTGAATTTGGGAGATACTGCCATTTTTTCCTGTAGGTGTTTTAATATTTGAGAAACTACTGATCTCATCCTTTTAAATTAGATCCTTTCTCTATATGCAGACATCGCTTCTTGTTCATTCCTTTTTCAGTGTCTTTAAGCAACCCTGAATTATTATTTTTCTTCTTTACTGGGTTATAAACTATTTGAGAGCAAGGACCGTGTCCTAGTCACTGTCATATTCCCAGCACTTACTGTAGTCAGCTCATGTTACAGGAGTCCAATCTTCTGAATTTGCGCACTGATTTCTGCAGGAGAGAATTTTTCTTTCCATTTGATGTTATATATTGTACATTTATTTCAAGTATTTTTTATCACTGTGAAATTTAGAAAGTTAAAAGATGCACAGCTGTAAAAATGCTTCTTTCACAAACAAATTGGAAAATTATGGTTTTGTGGGAAAGTTCCAGATGAAAACTATGGCTTAGAATAGAATAGAAAGAAAACAGATGAGGCAGCTAACTACTGTCAAAGAGAGAGGAGTTACCCTGAGCCACAGGAGGCAGCATCCTTAGAACAAAGTGTCCTGGAAAGGAAGTTGGGGCATTCATGCTAAAGTCAGCTTATTTGATCTATATCATTTAACCTTTCAAATTACAAGTTCTCATTTTTAAAAATACGGGAGTTGGTTTAGAAAATCTGTAAGGCCTCTTAGAGTTCTAAAATTCTACCATTTTTATCTTAATGACAATATTTAGTAAGATGAATACATTATTACCAATTATTAAGATATTTCTTTTACAAACCTTTGATTTAGATTTTTGAATACAAAAAAATTCATTTGCTGCATTTACAAGAAAAATTGTTTATGCAAACAGTCATAAATGCTTCCTGTTAGAAAATGGAAATTATGTAACTGTATCTTTCTCTTTAGCTTAGCCAAACACTTGAAATTTGTAACTGAAGTTGGTAAGCTTAAAGTATAGATATTTTAAGTTTTACTTTATTTTTTATTTTTTTGGGTATTGGGAGTCAAACTCAGGACCTTGTGCTTGCCAGGCAGGTGCTGCATTCTGCCCCTCAGTTTTTAAAAAAATGTTACTGACATGAATTAGTTTGCGTAAGAGATGCCACTTTCGTTTCTTTCCCTAGAAGGTACAGAAATAGCATATATTTGATATTTACTGTGTAGAAGTTACATTACCCTGCTAAATTTTTTTTTCTTTCTCTCTCTCTCTCTCTCTCAAATTATATGAGGGGTCAAACTCAGGACTCACACTGAGCTACATCGCTAGCGTTTTAAACATTTTTTAAAGTTTGAGACGAGGTCCTGCTATATTTATGTTGCCCAGGTGGGCTAGAACTTGTTTTACTCCTACCTCAGCCTTTCAGGGTGCTGAGATCACGCTGATGAGCACCACCATGCCTGGCTCGTATTTTTTATTTTATTAATCATTGAACCTATATGTAGAACTTTCTTTAACATATGTAAAAGCTTTATTATACACCCTTGTTAGAAAGCTTATCTTTAAACTTAATTTAGGCTAACAGTCACTCACATTGATTCTAATACACTGACTGCCAGGATGTACTATGATGCTTCTACTAGCTATGTTAAGTCTCTATGTAAAATTAAAATAATTTTTTTATGGCAAAGCAAAATGTCAGTGTTTTGGACTGTATCATCTCAGCCTTTTGTAGTACTATTACGCTTGACCTGTAGTTTATCTTTATACTTCGTTTTTTATACATAGGGTCAATTAGAAATTGTCATTTTACCTTTTGCAACAATAATTAATAATGTTCAGTATGTCATGGAATGTTTTATGCAATAGATTGACACATTTGCTGAGTTTACAAGGAAAATTGTTTATAAAATAATCATAAGTGCTTCCTGTTAGAAAATGGGAGCTATGTAACTGTATCTTTCTCTTCAGCTTAGCCAAAAACTTGAAAATTTTAACTGAAATTTGCAATATATTCATCTTTTGTTTCTTACAGTAATTCTATTATGAGGAGAACTCAGTTGAAATATGATACATGATATTTAAATGTGTTAATTGATGTCTTAAACCCTTCTAGGAAATAGGAGGAATATAAATCTGAAAAATAGTATAGCAACACATTGTTGCTCATTGTTGTTTTGAAAATGACATAATACTGAAGTTGGATGAAAGGCTGCTAGGCAATCTGCAGTTCCCACTAAACACATAGTATTGAGTTTGATAAGTGTTTTCATTTCAGAATTGCTGTTGCTTTTAATGATGACTTTGGTGACTTTTCTTGGTTATTTAGTTGTTGCTGAGACAAAATGCCCAACACCCACATGTTAAGGGAGGAAAGGTTTATTTAGCTCATAGTTTGTGGAGGTTTCAGTCTATAATCAGCTGGCTCCAAGGCAGAATTGGCACGACAGACAGGTATCACAGAGGAAAAACAGTTTGTGGTGGGCAAAACCACTTAGTAGCAAAGCAGCAAGGAAGACAAGACAAGCCTCTTTCTGTCCCTTATATTCTATCCAGGGTACTGGGATTAGGTGACGGCAAACCAATGAGTGACTGATTTAGTAGCGCCCCCCCCCCTCATCATAGCATTGTACCATGAATCAGTCTCACACTCTGGGTTCACCCACCTCTGAAAAAGCCCCACTTATAACTGCCTAGGCTTTGGAGGAACATCTAGACACAAGCTGTAGCAGTCACAAAAGAGAAATTTCATTCTTTAGGTGATACTCAGTAGAATTTTCTAATCAGTTATAGTTAATGTCATCTTGTCCTTGAAAAGCTAATATTGTTGAGTCTTGCTGCTATTGGCCTATTGAAACTATGTAACAACTTCATACATCTTTCCTGTTGTCTGTCCTTCATCCATGTCCAGTAGTGGAGTTTTGAAAGATTTACTCAGCGTACTAATAATTTTGCTATCTATTCCATGATTCATTCTTGTTCGTCTTGCTTTGATTCTTGAGGTAAGTAGGAATATGTGGAATATAAATAAAACACTATTGTAGGCCAGGTGTGAGAGCGAGGGTAGGTGTGAACTCAGACCTGTTAACAAGTTGTATGGCAGAATTTGATACTATATTGGTAATATTTTCCCATCTTAGGCTAGTTTTCTATTTTTCAGTTTGTGCACTGTGGAATGTATTGCTTGTGAGTAGATTTATTGATTACTTTTTAATATGCATATTCACATGATAAGCTACCTAGTAATAGGTGCTTTGTGAACATTTAAATTAAGTGTTGTTGACAGAATAGGTATGGCAAAGTTTATTTGATACTCCCAATCAAAGACTTGTTTATCCCATAATAATTTTGTTTTGTCAGTTGATAGTTGATAAATTTGTTATTATTTATGAGCGTTTAATACTTACACTTAACTTATTAGTAAGGGGGAAAAGTATGCATATTCAAAACGGTCCCTAGCTAATTATGTTTTAAAATTTCTCGCCTTCCTTAAAATTACCTGAAAATAGCAAATCCTCAATTTCTGTTTCTATGAATTTTGATTATACTTACAATCTAAAGAGAGAAGAATTTTCAAGATTTCTAAAGCATATTTTGTTGCAAGGTCTTGTCTTCAGTTTAGCTTCATGCCACGTAAAGGTGGCATGTTTATAGGAAACAAAACTTTGGATTAATGGTGACGAATTTGTATACAGGCAGACATGCTTAACCTTAACATGATGTTTTAGTTATTTTCTCTCATTGCTGAGACAAAATACCCAACAACCAAGGTTAAAGGAAGAAAGATTTTTTAGCTCACAGTTTATAGATGTTTCAGTTCTTAATTGGTTGGCTCCAAGGCAGGTGGCACATGGCAGAGGGGCAGCAGTTCATGGTGGTAGAAGGCAGCAAAAGCAACAAGAGAGTGAGAGACAAGCCCCTTTCTGACTCTCATATTGTGTGCAGGCTACATACCCTGGGGTGGGTGTAGTGCTTACAACCTTAATCCCAGCCCTGGACCATGAATTAATCACAAACTCTAGATTTAGCTGCTTTGGAAAAGCCCACCCTGCATGAGGCTTTTGGAGGACATCCAGACCCAAACCGTCACATACGGTGTTTCCTGTGGTAGCTGTCTTCTGAGTCTTCTGAGGTAGCTGGGCAGTACTAGTGTTAGAGACTGCTGGACAGTGAAGCTACCAGATTGAACCTACAACCTTGGCATTATTACTAGTCCCTTGTGTCAGTAATGTAAAAATTGCTTATATAGTATTGAATTTCATTACTCCAGGATCCATAAAAAAACTTTAAAATTCTCTTTGATGCAATCCAGTATTATTATGAGATAACCAGTAATTATTGTTCATATTTTTCAGGAAGGACTTTGAAAGAGATTAATTACTGTTCAAAAGTATGCAAGTTAATGCTGATGCTGAGTTGAGTTCTGTATACTTTTCTCCATTGGCTTATGTTGCTATTGCTAATAGTGTTCAGTTAGTGTAGATCAGTAGACCTAAATCAAAAGCTTTAGAGTGGGCACAGTAGTTTGTGTTTTAGCAGGCTTTCTCAGTGATCCTGTTACATGCCTAAGTTTGAGCACCACTGTTTTGAGTCTTTTACTAACTGGTGCCTCACAGTTCTGACATTACTTGAAACAAACTAGGTTAAGATGTATGTTAGAGACATCATAAACTGTTATTTGAGAGTATTTTTGTAAACATGTTGACTGCAGTTTTAACAGGTCAAAGTCATCTCTTGTGAATTTAGTGTATCTTTTTTTCATTTTTTATTTTTTTAACTAGAGGTTGAACCAAGGGTTCCACATTGCACTATCCATTTGTAATTCTCCTTTCTCAGTCTCTCAGGCTGTTGGAATTATGGCAAGGAAGTGCTACCATGTGTGGTTTTATTTTTATATATATATATATATATATACTTTTTAAAGGAAATTTCCCCAAATTTTTATTTTTCAGCATGACTATACAAATCCAAAGTAAAAGTATTAGGCCTTTTCTTAAAAACAGATTCTTAATGAAATACATTAGTGGTAATAAACATTTTAAAAATATACTACTGAAAAGAAATTCTAGGATGCCATCACTGAATCAGTGAAACTTGGATTGTGCCCAAAGGAAGGAAATAACTCAAATAGCAATGTCCAGAAAGCAGTTAGTTTATTTTGGAAAGCTCTCAAGTTAATGCTATTGTATTCAGAATCACCAGAGCCAAAGACTGTGTATGATTCATGATTTGAGTAGTGGAAACTCCAGATTTTGATGTGGAATACTTTTTTCCTTTTAAGGAAAATAGTTTTGTATAGGCAAAGTACCTGCTATCTGTGTGTCTTGATTTTGTTAAATAAGTAGTATTAAAGACCCAGTGAGGGGTAGGGAATGATAGTATAGCCTGCTTTCCACAGAACATTGGGTTAAAAATGGAACTCTAACAAAAGGTTGGTATAGCGTATTAAAGTAAGAGACTAGGAAAGATGCCCTCTCAGTGAGGATAGTAACTTCAGTTCCCTTTCCTTAGCTTTGCTAAACAGAACTGCTTGTGCTTGTTGTTTTACCAACGTTGTCATCACTGTAGCATTAAAGAGCAAATGTCATAATTCTTCCTTTGACCAAGTATGTACTTGAGAGCTGTGCAGTAACCACTGATTCCTTTTTATTCTTTCAAAGACTTTTTTTGATGTGAATTAGTCTTGGGCTTTATACATATTTTAATTTAGACTGTATAATGTTTTAAATGTAGTGAAAGAAAGTGGACTTTCAGTATATGCTTTAATGTACAAGCTTCAAAAAATCTAAGTAGTGCTATTTGGAAAATCCTTTTTGTTGAAAGTTAGATTTTATGCTATTTTTATTATTTTATGTATCTATTTTTTTTTTGCTGTGCTGGAGATTGAAACCAGGAACTCACACAGGCTACAAAATATTCTACCACTGAGCTACACCCTCAGCCCCTGTTAGTTGAAAACAAGTATTTTTTTTCTTTTTCACTTGAAACCTAGTGATAGTCAGTGCAGATCTGATATAATAGAATCTACGAATTCATGGTTAACTTCATGAACCAAAGTTGCTATTGGACCTTTAGCCATTGCTTCTTTAAGAGGAAAGGGAAAAAGGACATAGTGCCCTTCTTTAAGGACTCTCTTGAATCAAATATAGTTTTCAAGCCTACATTCTGTTGGCCTTTAGAAGGTATTATGGTTATAAACAACCATAAGGGAGGCTTCTGTCACTAAGGAATAGTTGAGAATGGATATTGGAGACAGTCAACAGCGTCTCTGATAGTATGCAAATGAATAATTTAAAAATAAGAGAGACATATTCCAGTTTAAGTCTGACACATTTCATTTATACCAGTGTCAGATTTGCAAATACGATGACCAAAATAGTAATTACACTGAATGAGAGAGGTGATATTATGGTGAACCAAAACAGAAACCTGTATTTTGCAACACTTCGAATTGACTTTTAACTTTTTTGTGTGTTAAATTTTAAAATCCTAAGCTAGAATCACCAACTGAAATTGATGCATATGATACTGCTAGATTATATATCAGACAGATAGAAGTCAAATGAAGAATGATCAACTGTGTTGTTTGATTTGAAGACCTCAAGAAATGTGCATGAGAAACTTGTGTAGTATAATGAGGTTTATGGCCTAATCTGCTTACTCTCTGTTTGTTTTCCATTTCTGAATCATGTGTATGCGTTTTATTTCCTCCTGGAATATGCATTAGATTCTGCTTTGATATTTTTCTCTTGTTTCAGTTCTAAGCATGTGCTCTCCATATGGGAAATAAAGCTGGCTGTCTTAGGCCATGTTAGTTTATAAATGCTTTTGCTAGTATTTCATGTTTGTTTTTTGTGTTGTTGAACTAAAAATTTTATTGAAAAATCTTGGGAGTGTTTTATGTATTCTTGTCTCATCTAACTGTAATATTCTAAGCATGTAGTTTGGAACACAAGGCACTTAAGTTTTGGAAGTGGTTAGAGAAGGTAGATAAGCCTCTTCTAGATCGAAGGAACAGTTTATTCATCATACGTAGTTTAATATTGTATGTCACAAATGACTTTGAGGGCCATCTCTTCTCAGCAGATTGCTTTTTCCTGAGTGCATCGAGTTGTTGTTCAGGCAGGTTTTTTTTTTTTTTTTTTTTTTTTTAAGGAATTTGGACACTTAAAGGCAAATAACTTGTCCAGAATAGTTTTCATAATAATTATTTTATACTGATATTCTGGAGCTCAGTTAACATACATGCAAAACTAAAAACTATTTTTTTTGTATGGTTGCAAATATCCTGTTTCTAATATTCTTTGATTATATCTCACACAGTAACTTAAATAGAAATATCTGAGATAAGGTTGTTTTCTAGAATCCAAGATGGTTGTTACAATAATAAACAATATAAGATTAATGTTATATTAATTATTAATAAACAATATTAAGCGTAATATCACTTAATATTTATTGTGGGCTTATGTGCTGGGTAAGGTATTAAATTCTATGTATTCTCTCATATAATACTCATAACTATATAGATAGTATTGCTTTTCACACTTTACAGATAAGGAAATTGAAGACAAGAGAAAATAGTTTGACATTTGAATCCAGGTCTGTTCAAGGTCTGTGTGCTTTAAAGAACTGATTTTTCCTGAAGATTTGGTGTCCCATGTCCAGGCCTATGTTTTGTAGTTTGATGGCAGTCGCAGGGTAGATTGATTGGGTGGTAGTTATGTGGAGCTTTCCTGACATATTTCTATGAAGAAGGAGGATGAATATGCATAATACAGTAACAAATTGAGTGTTTGCATTTTAAGAGGATTTTCTCTAGTGTTAAATGTTATTTAGATAGAAAGTAGGGTACTTTCATGCTCTGCCTGATTATTAAGAGGGTAATATATTTTTATTTAAGGAAAGTTTTTTATTTTGAAGATCAGTTAAATTATAAAACAAGTAAATAATACTAAAGCCTCTGTTCCTTCCCTCTTTCCTCCCACAGGCTTTACACAGTACAGTAATTTAGAATAGTTGATACTAGTGCTCCTTAAATACCTATTTGAATTCCCTTAAGATCCTTTGTGTTTGTTTACAGTTAATGTGTTAAGAGCCATTGGCATTTGAAGATCATCAGAAGTGAAGATAAAACATCTCAGATATTATAATGTAAGTGAATGGGAAAATGCAACAAAATGGACAGAAGCTGACATTGTAAACAGTGTTTCTAGAATCCTTGTATTATGTATGCCAAATGAAATTTGTGCATATTAGTGATCAGTAACCTCAAAGTTTAGTCCCTATCCTAAAATTCTGTGCTGAAGAAAACACTGATTTTTAGTCATCCAGTAATTTTCTTTAAAAAATTTTTGGCTTTCATGTAGTACTATTTTCTTCCTTTACGTTCTTAGTATTTTGCAGTTTGAGAAGAGGATAAGGGTTAATGTTCTATTTAAAGTTGTATTTGTATAGAACCTGATATCCTTGCTTTTGAGCTGCTGATGCATGTTGTGTATTTTATCCAAGTTTAGTTTTGCGACCATTCTGTATGTTTCTTGGCCCAAAATATGAACCCCAAACACTTGATCTCTTTCCTTTCTTTCCTTCTACAATGTTTAAGCATAAGAGATCATTCATTTAGTGTTTCTGCCTGAATATTTAAGTTACATGTGCTTAGGAAACATTTAGCTTCTGAAGTTTCAACTTATTTAGCAGCTTAGTTTCTGAATCTTCTGGGAGTAGGCCCAAATACCTGTACTTAAAATTACAGATGCACTGAGACAGACGCTGGTTGTAGTCTAGTCCAGCTCCAAAAGCTTGCAGATGAGGGAGTAAACATAGAAAATTTTAATAATTTACCTAAAAGGGACAATAAATGTGAGAAGGCCGGGAGATACTGATGGTTTTACTCCAGGGACATAAGAGGTGTTTAGTGCTAAAGATTATCTCCTGATGCTTCATTTCGAGACTTTACCAATTTGAGTCATAATTTTTGTTGAGCCAGACAGCTTCATTGTGTTTCATGTCTATAAAAAGCTCCCTGTATATCATACGGAAGTAGGATTGTAACTAATCCATCACTGTAACTAAAATATGACTAAAATTACCCATTGCATATGGGCATGAAACCACACGTACTGTTGCTCCATCTTTAAGTCAGATATTGTCTGATTTTAATTTTGAAATCTTTGATAGTTGTGGTGTAGGAAAAATCTTTGTTTTTTTATACCCATGATGTTATTTGTATCATGATGTTAAGTTTTATTTTTCTGGAAAAAAAAAGAATCTGATTTCATTTTTTGAAAGGAATAGAGGGTACAACTTTCATAGTGCTTGGTAGGTGCTTGATAAACTATACCATGGGCAATTTACTGTAATAACTTTATTTTTTTTCCTCTTAGGTTCTGTCTAGTACACTATTCTGATTAGTTTTTGCTTTTATAGAATGTGGTCCTTTACCATAGGCCGTAGGCCATAAATAATTTAAATTAAATTTATAATACTAAATTATTAGTTTATATTGATGCTATGTATCCGAGAGACTGAACTTTTCCACGATTGTTTTTTGAACTATAAGAGTTTGAACTAGTTTTAGTATAGTGTATATTTTATATCATTTTGTGTAATTTGATAACTACTGACTTAATTTCGTATCAGTAAGTATAGTTAGACAAAATTTTTGGAAATGTTTTGTAATGCTTAGGTTTCTACAAGTTTAATCTTAAAATGCTATTACACCTTTTTAATATTTTGGAATACATTTTATTTAATTAAAGATTTAAAAATATTTGTTTTTGCACTGGTGGGGATTGAATTTAGGGCCTTGCCCATGCTAGGTAAGTACTCTGCCACTGAGTTATAATCTCAGTCTTAAAAATGTTAATTTTAAATATATAATTTATTTCTAATAAGCTTATACTTTGCAATTGTAGATATTCTTTCCATTAAATTTTTCTTTTTGTGTCCATTGACTCAAAATCATAAATGTAACTACTATAAACAGGGACATTACTACATTGTATGACTCCTTCATTTGCTGTGTTGTTATACTAAAGTTAGGGGTATTGCCTAAGAGTGGATATTTTGTATATGTTAAAATACTTTGTAAATAGCACCGGGGATATAGCTCAGCAGGACAGCACCTGCCTGTCAAGCCCAAGATCTTGAGTTTGATTCCAGGTTAAAAAAAAAAAAAAAGAAAATCCGTAAATAGCAGACTAATACTATGTTTTTATGATGATATGTATGAAATGTTTTGAAAACATGTTGCTGTACATCAGCAGTTTCTTTGTGATATAATGGAAATGTTTACTAAATTTAATTTTAAATCAGAAAGGAAAATGGATGCGATTTTTACTTAGTCATTTTTAATGCTTTTTAAAAAAAGATTTTTATTTTAAAGAGAAACAAAACAAAACAAAACAAAGTAAATCAGAACAGAACAATGCAAGCAATACAGGACTTCACAACAAGACAACAGGAAATTAACAGTGGCTGCCATAATGTCTCTTGTTTTCTTTGAAGTAGTTGTGCATACTGTCATACACCGTATAGTCAAACAAAACAAAATAGTGTAAAACCAATTAAAAAAAAAAAGAATAAAAGCATTATGGAACTTCAAAACAATACATTACAAAATCACCAATGGCTATCATAATGTCTCTTGTTCTCCTTAAAAATAGCTGCCCATACCTTCATACACAATGAAATCAAATAATAGAAAACAGATTAAAACCAATCAAAAGAATGAAATATTACAGAAGTTCAAAACCAGATAACAAGAAATGAACAATGATAACTATAATGTTTCATTTTCTTCAAAATAACTGTTGATACCATCACACATAATAAAATCAAACAAAACAAAGCATAACCAATTACACAAAAGAAAAAGCATTAGAGGACTTCAAAACAAAACAATAGGAGAACAACCATGATTAATATGATACATCCCATTATGTTAAAAATAGCTGCCTCTACCATCAGATACAGTAAAATCAAACCAAACAAGACAGAATAGAATCAAACCTAACAAAATTGTGAAAACATTGTAAGAGTTCAAGACAAGACAGTATGAAATGTACATTGGCTACCAGCTTCTCCTCCTAGGTGTTTCCTCCCCTATCACTTTTTTTTTTCCGGTACCCATGATTGAACTCATGGCCGTGCACTTGCAAGGCTGGTGCTTATGGCGCTGAGCTAAATCCCCAGCCCCTCCCCTATCACTTTTATAATATCTATTGTTTTTTTGGATCCCACTAATTCCTGTATTTTGTGCTAATATTAACCCATATGAGTTCAGGCTGTTTCACCCATGAACATGACCTCCAGTTGCATCCATTTACCTACAAGAGCCTCAAAATTATCCTGCTTCATAGCTTGGGAGCTTTCCATTGTATGAAAATAAGTCTTTCTTATCCATTCTGTGGTCAGTCGCAAGTTACCCTTGGTTTTTTCTGGTCTCCTGTCTCATGGAACAATTGTTTTCTCCCCTTTGATTTTCAGTCTGTGAATTTCCTTTTGAGTTAAGTGTTTTTTGTATACAGTATATTGATGGATCTTGTTTCTTGATCCACTCTCCATGTTTCTTTTTATTGCTGAATTGAGGCTATCTACATTAATGGTTACAACCAGCATACCTTGGTTTGTCTCTGCCCTGCTATCCTCCTGCTGTTGGCCCTCCACTTTTCCCCTTCATTCAATTGCTTGTCCTATTTGGTGATCCTCTCTGCTGTTTTCGTTTTCTTCAAAATAGCTGTTCATACCATCACACATAGAACTATTATAGGAACCATGGTTATCCTTATCACTTTCTAGAATATCTTTGCACTCTCTGTAGGGTTGGTTTGGTGATCCTGAATTCCTTCAGTTGCTCTTTATCATGGGAGTATCTTATTTTTCCATCGATTTTGAAAGATAGTTTTGCAGGATATATCAGTTTGGGTTGAAAGCTGTTTTCTTTCAGGACTTGAAATACTTCACTCCAGCCTTTTGACTTGATGGTTTGTGTTGACAAGGCTGTGGTGAATCTGATGAGTTACCTTTATAGGTGATCTGTTTACTTTCTATAACAGCTTTTATTATTCTATTGTGCTGAATTTCTGGGATCTTGATTATTATACATCTGGGTGTAGATTTACTTTGGTTTTGGCTGGTTGGAGTTCTGTATGCCCCACTTACTTGTATACCAGATCCTTTTTCCATGTTTGGGAAATTTTCTGCTATTACTTCTGTAAATAGTGTTTTTATTTCATTTGTGTTAATTGCTGCTTCTTCATTGATACCTATGACTCTGAAATTATTTCTCTTTGCATAATTGAATTGCAGCCATTGAATTGTCATTTCCTGGTTTCTTGTTATTTTTTAAGAAAGCTTTCCTTTCACAATTGCTAGCTGCAATTCTGTCTTCAAGGTCTGAAAGTCTTATCTTCAGTCTCTTTCAAGAGGTTTTGCCAGCTTTTGATGGACTTTTTGATTTCCTGGATATCTATTTGAGTGTTTTGTGCATTGTAATTCCTTTCTATATTATTCATTCAAAGTTTCCATCATTTTCCTATTTCTGCTTTTTTATCTATGTCTTTTTTAGATATGCTGAGCAATTCTTTCATTAGGGTTTTCATTTCTCCTTTTACCTGAGACATTATTTATGATTTGATTGCTTTTACAATCTCATGAAATTGTTTGTTTACTTTAGTTGCTACCTCTCAAAGATTTCAGGTGTGTAACTTCCATGACTGTATTTCCCAGACTTGTTCTGTGTGGGCTGGAGGTCTGAGATTGCCTTTTGCTCCTTCATCTTGACATTCTTCTGGGTTCCTTCCATTAAGCTGGTTGTGAGGTCCACAGAAACTTCCTACATTGGCTGCCCCTGTGGGGTGCAGCAAAATGGGACATGCACCTGTGTTCCTCTGACCCCAGGTTTACAGGGAGGTAGCAGGGATGGGGCAGGTTTCTCCAGACCTGAGCAGTTACACTGAGGCTTCCCTGATGGCCAGGAGTGTATGGAGGTGGGGCTGCTCCTCTCATGCTGTGTTTCTACACTGGAACTCCCTCAATGGTGCCAGGCATACAGGGGTGTGTTTGTCTGATTCTCCCAGTGGGTGACAGCAGCCCAAAGGAAGCAAGGGCCACTAATGGGTGGCCTGTGGCGTACGTGGCTGTGTGTCCCT